TGATGGGTATGTGCTAGACTCTCTGAGCAGATGCCGGTCCACACAGCTTGGAGGAAACATTGGTGGTCACTAGTAATTCAGAGGCTAATGTCTTGGGGGCAAAAACAAATTGCTGGAGAAACTCAGCAGGTCTGATACATATATGGAGATAAAGCAGAGTTAACATTTCAAGTCCTGTGACCTTTTTATTTGAATGTTTTGGGGCCATGGGTTCAGATCCCACCACTATAACTGATGAGATTAACAAATCAATTAATAAATTTGGAATAGAAAGCTGGTGTCTGTAGTAGTGATCATGAAAATTACCAGCAGCTGTTTTTTAAAACAAAAAACACCTTGTTCACCTATGCCCTTCAGGAAAGGAAATCTGCTGTTCTTATCCAGTTGGTCTACGTGTGCCTTGAGAAACACGGAGATGTAGATGGCTCTTTACTGTGCTCAGGTCAAGGCAGTCGGGGATGAACAATAAATCCTGGGCTTGCCAACAACACCACATCAAATAATTTTTAAAAATAGGAATTGGCTGTTCAGCTCTTCCAGCCAGTTTGGTTATTTAGCTGTTTTGTAGTTCGACTCTATTAATCTCCTCTTTGACCTATACTCCTTGATGTTCTTGCTTACTGGATCCCTCTTGAAAATTTCAAATGACTCAGAAGTTTCAAATTACCACACCCATTTGTTAAAAAAATGCCCAAGACATTTGAAGGCATTGCCTCAAACTTGTTTCGAAATTGTGAATGATTTGTGTACAAATGTGGTCCCTTTAAATTTTTTTTTTTTTTGCATGGCTATATGTGCAAGGTAATTTAAAGGCACCAACTTGTTTGTCGCCTGCATGAGGGCTTTCTGGTCTCTGAGCAGCTGCACAGCTTAGAGGGAACATTATTTTTGTGTTCTGAATTTATAATAGTTTCCCAGTAACTATTGCTCACCTGGCAGTTTGTTTATAATGTATCAAGTGCATATCCAACCATCACACTGAGTGGTGGTTCATGATTTGTAACTCCAGGTTTTTTGTGAATAAGTTTATTTTAGCTTGTCTCTTTGTTTTTCTTTCAGATGGAAGATTTGTATGAAGATTTTCACATTGTGAAACTCCCATTGTTACCTCATGAAGTCAGGGGCACTGACAAAGTCAACACTTTCTCTAAACTCCTGCTTGAGCCTTACAAGCCACCGAGTAAATGAATAGACTCCCTCATTCCGTTTCAAGACTGATGCAAAGAGATCCAAGATTTGTAATTTATTAACACTGTTTGTAGGAAGGAGCTTGGGGAGGGAATGCGTGGATGTTATTTATTGTTTCGATCAGTTTTTGATTTCTGGTTATTGTAACTTTAAGGAGGTGATTTTGCATTGTGATCTCAAGAGGTTGTGTCAAAGTTGTAGAATGGAGCATTATATATCTACAGCTTTATTCTGTGATTAACTGCTTCAGATTCTTCCCCTCCTCTTAATGGTTGTCTGTCCTGTCTCAAGTGACCCTATGTCTTGAGGACCCAACGCATCCTCTGTAATTCTCCTCCTACCAGCAGTTCACTTAACTGTGGCTGTTTCTCCAGTTGAACACCTCGAAATGAAGTGATTGCTTTACTACAGAAGCAACAGTTGTATTAGGAATCAACAGTGACCCCTTTCCTACTACCCACCCCTGCCCTATTCCTTGCCACAGATGCTGCTACCTAAAAATGGCATTATGAAACTAGCCCATTAAATGCTTTGACACAAGCAAGCCACTCTCCTATAACTCCATGTTTCATTTCAGCAGCAGTTGAAGTTGTTCGTTATTCATGCGAATAGGAGCCAGCTGCCCCATATTAGGCAACAAATTCTAATCTTTTGAGACCAATTCAGCAATCATCATGTAACCTACGTATGTTTCTTTAGAGCGTTCCTTATTTCACTCAGCTCTCCATTAGATAAGCAGACCAAATACATCTTCTGTCTCTTTCAGAACATGGGTTATATGAGAAAGCTTCTCTAAACCTGACCACTGACAAAGTACTTAAAATGGTGCATTAGGTTTAAAAAAATTATCTGGCATTGCTGGTTCTGGTGTTGTCAGGCCTCCGATTCGCTTTACGCAATCTGACACTTGAGATTTTATCTGTGTTGATATGCTGCTTTGAGTGCTGTCTGTGCTTTATGGGGCCTTTTTCCAATTTGGAAAGGCTTTTAATGAAGAGAAGGGTTTATGAAGAACCTACACACACCTGAAATTTTTGAGACCCGTCCGTTTTGTTGTATTGGGTCTGTTTACGGATTCTCTTGTGGACTCTGTTTTCCTTTACACTGTTCATGATCAGAGTCTGGGCCAGATGGGAGTTGGTCTGGAGCCTCCTCTATGAATTTGGGGCTCGGAGTGGGATTGGGCTGTTTATACTTTCTGACTGAATCTTTGTCTGTTAAAGTGGCTCACCTAGTTTAACATAACGAGCGATGGTGGAGCAGAAAGATCAAATGATTCACAAAGTACAGAGGTCGAAGTGATGTGACGTTTGCCAGGGCAGGAGTGGACAGCGCTAAATACGGTTCCTGCTGCTGGTCCTCGTCCTCCTGAGCTGATGAGTATTTGGAAATTGCTTGTTGGCCTGACACCTGAGAGTGCCCACTTAGGACAGAATGCTGTTTAAATGGTGCTTGGTGTCCTCCTGACAATCGACACCGTTTTTTTTGAGTGGGGTCATTTATAACATGGGATAAGAAATTCAATAAACACCTAATTATTCATGGTGGTCTCACCACATGCGAGTATTGCAATTGTTTTTAATAGTTTGTGAAGTTCACGATGAGTTGACTTGAAGACATTATTCTATGACTGTTGAAGTCAAAATGCAGACTAAATACAACAGGGGCCATACACTACTCGGTGACTGCAAATTCTCCGTATGTTTTATTTCCCTCACATATCAGGGACTACATGTTGAATGATATATCCACTCTGGTCCAGTCAGTAGTCTGAAAAGACTACTGCCCAAATGGTACAATAAGTGGCATTTGTGTGTTAATATTATGGAAACTGTGATGGGAAAGGCAAGCTTACTTAAAAGCACTGGGTCAATCATCCCCTGCTTTCTGTTCACTTTAGACAATTATCTCTCTGAAACCGGCCCTACCTTCCCATTAACTAAACAGACTATTGCTTGAGTTTTAACTAACCAACTCTCACCAAAGAAAGATGGATACAGAGCTGGAGGGAAGAACACATAATCAGGGATGCTTTTTTTAGGTAAGAGAAACCTATCTTAACTGGCTAGCAAACAACCCAACTCATGCAATTTAAAATTAAAATGTAGAATTAATTTAAGTCCATATCCAAATGCTATTTTCTGCAGAGTTCCCTTTTTGGCTGCTGCAGTAACTCATTTGCTTCCAAATGGATGCCATATGGCTGAGTAGTATACGCCAGTAGTTCGCTATCCACATTGACTTAGCAGAACCTATCCCATTTAAGGGAGGTGGTTCAACATCTGGCACCTGAAGGCATAGTTGGAAAAGAGGAATTCACTGGGGTTCCTGCTGATGAACTGTTTGTACAGTATCTAAGCATTGTTGGAAGATAGACATTTGTGGGTGACCAGTGAGAGAGCAGGATGTCCCTCAGTGAATTGATTGCTTTTCACAGTGTCACAAGCTATGCTGAGGGCAAGATGCTGGAAGTTACCGAGTGTCTACGACCAGACCCCCACTATCAGCAGAGAAAAGAAAATTGATAGAGAAAAGCTATCTTTTTAAAGTAGTAACACTAACAGCTATTATTAAAGTTTGAGTTGAGTTTAAATACTACAAGGGTAAACTTAAGTATTTATTTGTATTGTTTACAATAATTTCTAGGCTGGAGATGGGGAATAAATGTATTAAAACTCTTGAAATATACAATTATTGTGGGCTGTTGTGTTTTACACATTTTCTTGATGGAAGAAGGGCACTTAGAGCTTGCAACTGGGTTAGTTATATTGTGCGTTAAAGAGGAGCTTCAGAGGGCAACAGTTACAGTGCACAGAAGAATGTGGAAGTAAAGGTGATTCCTTGGTTTCTCATGCTCTAAAATTGCTTATCTTTACTGACATAAGCCATATGTAGCAGTTGCAAATTAGAATCTTTGACTGTTGGACCCCAAGCCTGTCTCTTGGGGGGCAAAAAAAGGACCACCACATTTTCCATTTGTAACTGCCTCTGTGGGAAGTCATCCAAACTCCATGAAAGGTGGTGACTGGGTATTCTGATGCTAGACACAAACAGAATTAGTGTTTTAGAGCATGGAAGAAGACCCTTTGGCTAAAAGTACCTATACCAATCCTCTGAAAGTTATCAAATTTGATCCACATTCTTGCTGTCTTTCTCCACCCATGCTGGCCCTTCAAATTTTACATCTTAAAACATTATCTGCTTCATATTTCGTAATCCGCAGATTTTAATTTTAGCAGGGTGTTCCACTTTCCAGCAAGCTTTATTTAATTAACAATTAAGTCTGTTCAGTAATTAAGTTTCTGTTGGCTACTAACCCACTGATCAGTGGAAATGGACTTACAGCTGTGCGTGCATACCTACACCCAAGAATGGTAGCATTTGAAGAAGGTAGCCAATCACCACTTCCTCAAGGACAATTAAGGAAGTGCAATTAATGCTAGCCTAGTCAGTGACAGCCATATCCCATCAACAAATAAATAGTGCAAGTCAAAGGCTGAAACCCACCACTCTGTGCTCTAGTGTGAATGTAATTGCCGAAACCACAAAACGAAATTGTTGCCCCTGAATGTTTGGGATCCTGTTGTTAATTCATGCATGTACTTGCGCTTAAATTGATTTTTAAACACCCAATGAGCCATATGTGTTTTCTGACTTCGTAGATAAACACAGTGACAGGCTTTGCTGGTTAAACCAGCATTTCTGTGCATTCCTTAATTGCTTTGGAGAAGGTGATGGTGAGCGGCCTCTTTTTGAACTGCTGTAGTCCATGTGTTGGTGCACTTGTGCTGCTAGTACATTCCACAATTTTGACCCAGGAACAGAGATTGTGTGTGACTTGGAAGGGAACTTGCAAGTGGTGGTTCCCCTGCCCCTCTAAGTGGTAACGGTCATGGATTTGGAAGATGCTGTAATTGAAACCTTGGTGAGTTACTGTAGATACATTGCTGACCTCTGCATTGGTGATGACAGGAATGAATAGTGAACATGCAGGATGGGATGCCAATAAAATGGGCTACTTTTGTACTGGACGGTGGTGTTCTTGTGTGTTGTTGAAGTAGCACACATTGCAGGTAACTATGCCATCATACTCCTGGTTTGTGCCTTGTAGATAGTGGACAGACTCTGGGGAGTTAGGTGGTGAATTACCATAGAATCCTTAGCCTGTGACCCACTTTTGTAGCTTTTATATGGCTGGTTCATTTCAGTTTCTCATCAATAGTGACTTCTAGGAAGTTGGTGTAATTAGTGACATAATGCCATTGAAGGTCAGGGAAAGTGATTAGTTTCTGTCTTCTTGGAGATGGTCATTGCTTGACATTTGAGTGTATGTTACTTGCCACTTTATCAGCTCAAGCTTGGATACTGTCCACATCATGCTGTATACGTGGATGGCTTTAGTATCTAAGGAGTCACAAATGATGCTGAACATTAGTGAACGTCCCCGTTTCTGACCTTTTGATGGAGGAAAGGTTATTGATGAAGCAGCTGAAGATTGTTGGACCTAGGACACTACCCTAAGGAAGTCCTGAAATGAATAACACCCCCAACAATCACTGCCGTCACAGGCACTGTGTGAGTCACAGGTTCAGGGTTTGGTGTCTAGTTGGAGGCCAGTTGTGTCTCTGCTGGCTCTGAAAGAGGAAATCGCATAGTGCCGTTCCCATTTTCTCCCCAGACCTCTTGCATTGTTCCTTTTCAGATAGTAATCCAATTGAACTTGCCTCCATTGTGCTTTCTGGCACTGCATTCCAGATCCCAGCCCTCACTATATGAAAAAGGTTTTCCTCATGTTGCAGGTGAGTTCATCTGTTCTTTAGTAGCAATAATTGGTATCCTTTAATATATTACCCAAGACACCTGAAGTGGGCAGCATCACTGCCTTACCGTGCCAGGGTCCTGAGTTTGATTCCAACCTTGGGTGACTGTGTAGAGTTTGCATATTCTTCTGGTGTCTGTGTGGATTTCCTTCAGAGCTCTGGTTTCTTCCCAGATATCAAAGATGCACAGGCTGGTGAATTAGCCATGGTAAATGTGGGTTTATGGGGATAGGGTAGAGGTCTGGTCTGGATGGGATAGTCTCCAGAGGGTTGGTGCGCATTCAGTGAGCCAAATTGCCTCTTTCCACAGGAAAGGGGATTCTATGATTCCAACTTCCTTATTCCTCCTTGTAGCCTCATGATTCACTTCAACTAATGCAACTAGAGATGGGCAATAAATGATGGTCCAGCTAGTGACACCTACATCCCATGAATTCGGGAAAAAAAAAGGGCCGCAGTTTAAACGTAATATCCACCCCCCACCCACATTTCTGATAATTCAGAACAATGTTGGAAGTTGTGGTTGGTTGGCTCGCTGAGCTGGTTCATTGTTTTTCCGCAGACGTTTCATTACCCTGCTAGGTAACATCATCAGTGCAGCCTCCGATGAAGCGCTGTTGTATTTTCCCGCCTGTTATTTGAACTCTGGTGTCCGTTGAGCTGGATTACTCCACTTCCGGTTTTCATTCGCATTGGAGTATAAATGGGGTCGAGCTCTGTGTTTGTTGATGGCTTTCTTAGTGGAGTACCAGGCTTCTAGGAATTCCCGTGCTTGTCTCTGCTTTGTCTGTCCCAGGATCTTGGTTTTGTCCCAGTCAAATTGGTGGTTCTCCTTGTCCATGTGGATAGAGATGAGTGAGTATTGGTCATGTCTTTTTGCAGCCAGTTGATGTTTGCGTACCCTTGTTGCTCATTTCCTTCCTGTTTGTCCAATGTAGTGTTTGTCACAGTCTCTGCAGGGAACCTTGGAAATGACATTGATCCTGTCCATAGTGGGTAGTCGGTCTTTGGTTCGGGTGAGCAGTTGTCGTAGAGTTGATGTGATGATAGGGTGGATCCATATCAACTCTACAACAACTGCTTACCCAAACCAAAGACCCACTACCCACTATGAACAGGATCAATGTCATATACAAGATTCCCTGCAGAGACTGTGACAAACACTACATTGGACAAACAGGAAGGAAATGAGCAACAAGGGTACGCAAACATCAATTGGCTGCAAAAAGACATGACCAATACTCACTCATCTCTATCCACATGGACAAGGAGAACCACCAATTTGACTGGGACAACACCAAGATCCTGGGACAGACAAAGCAGAGACAAGCACGGGAATTCCTAGAAGCCTGGTACTCCACTAAGAAAGCCATCAACAAACACATAGAGCTCGACCCCATATACACTCCATTGCGAAGGAAAATCTGAAGTGAGGTAATCCAGCTCAACGGACACCAGAGTTTAAATAACAGGCGGGAAAACACTACAGCGCTTCATCGGAGGCTGCACTGATGATGTTACCCAGCAGGGTAATGAAATATCTGTGGAAAAACAATGAACCAGCTCAGCGAGCCAACCAACCACACCATCCACAACCCGAGCTACAAATCTACTCTAAAACCTTAATGCTGGAAGAATCACATGATGTGTTCAATTCTGTAGTTGGGGCTTGAACCAAAACCTTCTGACTGGTTCAAACCTCCCCCTTCACAAAAATAAATTCAGACTTTCCCTGCAGTGATTAAAACAAACTCTGCAGCTTCTGATCACTGTCTATTCCCCAAAAAAATTCACAAAGGTCTAACATTTTAATAATAAATAATCTTATCGCAGTTTCCGTTTTGAAGTTGAAATTGCTATAGAATGGCTTCAAATGCAGGATATCAGTGAATACTGAACAGTCTGTCACTATCTCAGGCAGATCAATAAGTGAATGGGAAACAAACTTGTAACCTGCACTTCCTTTCAAAACAGAATATTCCATAATAAATCAAGATTTATCCAAAAATGTGTCTTTTCTGCTTTCAAGTTTGCTTTTTAATTGTCCTAATGTTTGAATTTTTTAAAAAACTGTAATTAACAAACTGGTTTGAGATGTATTCAATAAAACCTTTAACACTAATTTTGTTTTTTTTTGTTCTCTTGCTTATGATGAACTTCTGATGGAGCTTAGTTATATTACACGCTTCACAACAAATCTGAGGAACAGGAGCCAAGGATTTAAAATCTCTGAAATAACAGTAATGGAGTACCAACAATTACTACCTCACAAGTTTAAAACCACAATCCTTCCTACAGGAGCATTCCTGACACCCACTTCTGACCTGTTTTTGTGGCCATATTGTATTTATATGATGATTTTAGTTCCATTTTCGGTCAATGGTAATCCCAGAATGTTGATAGTGGGAGATTCAGTGACAGTAATGCCATTTAGTATCAAGGGAAGATGGTTAGATTCTGTCCACGAAGATGATCATTTCCTGGCATTGAGTGGTGCGAATGTTATTTGTCCCTTGACAGCCAAATCCTGGATATTGTCCAAGTCTTTTTGCATTTGGAGATAGTCTGCTTTGGTATCTGAGGTGTTGCGAATGGTACTGAACAATGTGCAATCATTAGCTAACATCTGATATTTACCACATAGCTGCTTGTGGGAGCTTGGCTGCCTTACTTCCTAAATTACAACTATATTTCAAAAGTGCTTTCATTGGCTGTAAGGCGGTGAATGGTCTTGGACAAATGGCAAAAGCAAAATACTGCAGGAGTTGGAAATCTGAAATTTTAAAAAAATCTGATTGAAATGCTTAACAAGTCTGGCTGCATCTGTGAAGAAAGAAAGAATTAATGGTGATAGATCACCACACAGCC